TCTCGCACGTCTCAACAATGCAAATATCCTCGCCCTCGCGATCCCGGTACTCCCTCAGAATGTCCAGTTGGCCAGCGTCGCCCAGCGCGCCCAGAGCCTCGGCGGCCTCGTGGCGGCACATGGGGTCCTCCTGGAGATCGGTCAGGACGTTGCGCAGGTAAGGCACGGCGACGAGGTTTGCCGTCTGGCCGAGGCAGTAAGCGAGCTCATGCTTGAGGAGGGCCGAGGGGGAGGCGAAGCCGGCGGCGATGGCCTCGATGGCGGCCTCGCTGTCGGCGCCGTTGCTGTTGCAGGCGACGTGCTTGAGGGAGAAGAGGGCGCGGAAGCGGATGGGCAGAGGGGTCGTCTCGGAGGTGAGCGTCTTGCGCAGCTCGGCGATTGTCTGGGACTGGTCGGCGGCGGCGATGGCCTCGAGGGTCTCGCGCGTCTCGGGGAGGTCGGCGGAGGGGGACATTGTTGCGTTTTCTTTTTGGGTGGTGGCGTGAATGGAGAGGGGGTATCTTTTGTTCTAGAGACTGAAAGAAAAGTGACAATAATGCCGTCAATGAAAGTTTGTGGTGACTCAAAGTGAGGCTTGAATGGGGAGAAAAAAGAAGAAGGGCGTGGGCCGATTGTATTCCAGGAGGGCGGAATGGACTAAGACTTACCTCCGAGGGGTGGTCTCTTGCCCGTCGGATCTGATAAAGTCGGGCTGGCTGTAGAAATTTTGCGAGGGGCATAGCGGGGTGATTGGAACCCGATAAGATCTGCCCCTCACTGAAAAGAGAACCCTGCAGCCCCGTACTAGAAATACAAGCCCCGTCCACAGCTGCATTCTTGCAGAACACAGGCACCTCAGCAGATAGTGCCTTTCGCTATGGGTCTCTTTACCCACCACACTTCCAGATATAGACCATCATTTTGGCCCTTTTCATTAGAAGCCATTAGCTGATTGGTCTATTAGTCTAGTTGGTTAGGACGTCGGATTCTGACTTTCAGAACCTTCCGTAGGCCCAGGTTCGAATCCTGGATGGACCTCACCTTTTGCTAGAATCACCCATGAGATGTTTCTATCTCGCTGGATGCATGTAACATCTTTTTGTTGACATTTGTGACTTTTTGGCTTCCATCCAGAGCAGCTGTCAGTCTTGCGAAGCTTAACTTTTGGTTACATCAGCAAAGTTAGTGGAAGAGTGACTCTATTAAGTGGGGTTGTAACCGCGAACTTTGAAGGCGGCATTGCCACCACTCAGAGCAACCCATTTTGTCAACCGCTCTTCACCTTAGAGGCCGTATACTTCAACCTTAATACAATCTAACAGTGAACTCTGGCTTCTCCAAGCAGCAAACGAAGTAAAACCTATATGTCAGGATTTTCTGTATAGCAATTTGAACTTTTGACGAGCTCCGATCTTGACTGTCGCCACAGAGCCGCTCTTTGCAATCCGGCTTATCAATCAACTTCACCTCACTTGGCCTCACCCCGTCGCCGGTCCCGGACCAGACCTCAACCTCAAGAAAATCATCTGCCTCTTTCACACGCCTCTTCAACTTTTACAGTACTGGCCTTTATTTGAAGATATTTCATTCGCAATTCTCTCTCTCTCCGCCCCTCCAAACATCACTCATCTCACGAGCAAACCATAGCGCGTACACACAAAAGATGGCCCCCTCTCTAGAGGCGGACCCCGACGCAGCGGTCCAAGACGTCCTCGCCAACCCCCTCAAACAGAAACCCTCCCTCGTCGCCCCAAAACCAGAACACTGCCCGGGCCCGGAATCCGCCGCCGCCGGCACGGCAGACTCCTGCGCCGGCTGCCCCAACAAGGAAATCTGCGCCGCCACCGCCGTCAAAGGCCCGGACCCGGACATACCCATCATCGCCTCCCGCCTCGCCGGCATCGCCCACAAGATCCTCGTCCTCTCGGGCAAGGGCGGCGTCGGCAAGTCCACCTTCACCACCCTCCTCGCCCACGCCTTCGCCACGAACCCGGACAGCGCCGTCGGCGTCATGGACACGGACATTTGCGGGCCCTCGATCCCCAAGATGCTCGGCGTCGAGGCCGAGACGATCCACGTCTCCGGCGCCGGCTGGTCGCCCGTCTGGGTCCTCGACAACCTGGGCGTCATGTCCATCCAGTTCATGCTGCCCGACCGCGACGCGGCCATCATCTGGCGCGGCGCCAAGAAGAACGGCCTCATCAAGCAGTTCCTCAAGGACGTGGAATGGGGACCCCTCGACTTCCTGCTCGTCGACACGCCCCCCGGCACCTCGGACGAGCACCTCAGCGTGAACACGTTCCTCCGCGACAGCGGCATCGACGGCGCCGTCGTCGTCACCACGCCGCAGGAGGTCTCCCTCCTCGACGTCCGCAAGGAGATTGACTTCTGCCGGAAGGCGGGCATTCGCGTCCTCGGTCTCGCGGAGAACATGGCGGGCTTCGTGTGTCCCAAGTGCACGAACCAGAGCGAGATCTTCCGCGCGACGACGGGCGGCGGGCGCGCTCTGGCTGAGGAGATGGGGGTGCCGTTTTTGGGAAGCGTGCCGCTGGATCCGCGGATCGGGATGGCGTGCGACTACGGCGAGAGCTTCTTTGATAGTTTCCCTGATAGCCCTGCGTGTTTGGCGTTCAAGGAGGTGGTGAGGAATGTGAGCAAGGAGATGGGGCTGAATGAAAAGGATGTGTTGCCCGAGGATTAGATGGTAGGGGACAGGGCAAGGCATTGCTCTTCTGGTCATGATTTAAACGCTATTCAACGAAAGACATATAAAAAGAAAGATATCCATCAAAATTTCACGAAGAAGCTGTATCGGCAAAGCACTTATATTATGTACGTAAGATGCTGCATACTACCGTCCTGTTCTTCATCATGAACGGGGCCAAGCCTGTGGTCCCCTCTCTTTCGACTGTCTATGTAGATGCTTACTCCCCGCCTTGCAAATATTCATGCTTCATATCATCTCTTTCCTTTGCTTTTTTCTTTTTTCCAAGTTCACGCCGCCGCTCTACTCAGCGCCCAACTTCTCCGGTATCTCCTCCAAATCCTCGGCCTCCCGAATATCAATCACGCGGATGACCTCGCTCGTATTCCGCATCAGCTCCTTGGCACCGGCGTAGAGCATCCGTATCTCGCTGTTGCAGGTGGTGGGGAGGTAGTAAATCAGCACGTACGGAACCGACAAGCGGCCAGAGGCCTGTAGCGGAAAACAAAAGTTGTCAGCTCATCGCGTTTCTTCCTCTTTCCTCCTCCTCATAGGAAAAAAAAAACATACCAGTGTAAGCGGGTAGCTCAGCAGAATGAAGCGCGGGCTGTGATCCGGGAGATCGTCGCTAATCTCCTCGAGGGACTTGTATACGACCTTGTCGTCGTCTTGCTTGATCTCGTGCGTGTTCTTATCGATGTAGTCTATCGGGGAAGTAGCAAAAAAGTCAGCATCTAAGATAGACACGCTTTGGTCCGGCGCATAAGGTAGTCGGCCCGGGGCTAGTGTTTGACGTAAACGAGACATACATACAAATGACAGCTTGAGCACTGCTAGACCGCGAGGTTCCGAGACGGAACTTGCGCAAGTGGTCCTTTGTCTCCTGGGAGAAGGTGTAAAGCCGCGATTCGGAAGCCTAATGGTGCAAGTACAGCAAGTCAGTCCGAAAGTTCTAGTGATAGTTGCGCCTGCGACGGGAAAGCTTTGGTCACGCACCATGGCTGTCTTCGAGGAGGAGGGGTTGTCCAGGGAGGGTACACTATCAAGTCCTTGTTCGAGATATGTAATGGAGAAAAGATCGTAACGAGAATTCAAAGACCCAGGATATCAAAAAAGCTGTCGTTTACAGAAATGTAACAATATCCCCAAGGTTGCCTTGAGGGTTGTTGGTAAGGCAAGGTAAGGTAGGGTAGCTTTCGTTGTCGCAAGCACCATAGAAAACCGTCAGGCCGAAAGTCAAGCCACCCCTCCCCCGCCTCCGACGGAGTTGAGACCAGCGCAACGAAAGCCCCGCGCGTGCCATTTGGGCGGGGCCCCACCTCCCCAGTGACCTCACCCACCCTTCCCGCCGGACGGGATCACTCATGTTAACCAGTCCTTCCAATTATATGCCGGTGTAAGCCATACACTTAGGATTTTTGATAACTTGTGTTTGGCCAGATTCAGCATGTCTGTTCTTCGCCTTGGGAAGTTATCTTCGCTGTGCTCTTACTAGACCGCTATTTGAGGTTTCTCTGAAATTAGTCAAAGTTTTTGGCTGTCCAACATTTCGAAAAAAAATCGCGGGATTAATGTTAAGAAAAGGTCAAACATCTTAGGAGCCAAGCTTGGAGTGAAAGGAATGACCGGGCGCTACCCAGGTTTACGCTTATTCAGAAGACATCTCCAAAATCGATATTCAAACAGCTCAAAGGATCAGGAAAATCAGTCTGGTCACGGCAGCAGCAGCAGCCTTTGAAACTCATTCACTACCTATACCAACAATGAGAGAAAATAGTCACGTGATCTCATACACCGCAGCACCGGTCCTCCGCTCGCCCCGAACCGGAGCTCGGAGCCTCCAAAGGAGCTCCCGCATCTCACCATTTGATTCGTGCCTTCTGACGCCTTACCCTCGATTCCGCCCTCCTCCTCCCCCTCCTGCCCCGGCCGGTACCCAAAGAGAGACCCTGCATCACTCTCTTCCGCCCACTCTAATCAGCCCATGGCCCCATTGCCGTAAACCTTCCCGTTTATTGTGACCTTTCCTCTCCTTTTGCCGAGAACCTTCGTTTTCTTCCCAACATATGACATCATCGATTTTTGTGAGACGAAAATCGACCCAGTTCGAAATTGAGCTCCGTAGACCAGAGTTGAGGCACACACATTTGCACCTCTCTCTATCTCTGCCCAACTGCACAAAGTCGGGTGGTATCTTCTCATGTTCGCGCGACTCACCCAGCTGTCTCGGCATCTCCCCTCGGCCCAATCGATAACACAAGCCGTCAAGCCCGCCGCTTTCCCAGTCTCCTCCGGCTTCGCCCGCAACAGCAGAATCATGGTTTCGGCAGACGAACGCAACACCCGCACAATTCACACGGCGGCGTGTCTCATTATCGGTGATGAGGTTCTCGGCGGCAAGGTGAGAAACGTCCTGCAATGATTTGAGACTGGCTAGTGGCCATGTAGATAGTATGAATGGCTAACATTTTATCGTAATCCGTAGACGGTTGATGTGAGTAAATGGCACCACAGAAATGGCCAACTGCACTGGCAGGAAGCAGGTCTATATGATGACTTCCCGTATTAACCGATCATCATAGACCAACTCGGCTTACATGGCCAAGTGGTGCTTCTCTTTGGGTATTGTAAGTTTTTTAAGCATTTTATGAGTTGTGCCCAGGGGCGTGGCTGATCCCAAAGGCAGAACTTGAAGAGAGTCGAAGTCATTGAAGACGATGAGAGTGAAATCGTCGAAGCTGTCAGACGCATGAGCGACCGTTACGACTTTGTGGTAACCAGGTGCGTTCCCTCAAAATCTCATTGGCAACCAAGGCCCCAGCTAACATGAGGTGTACAGCGGCGGAATCGGTCCAACGTAAGAAACGTGGAACCCGAACCATTTCCTGAACCTTGATCGTTGACTAGGCGGTCACTAGACACGACGACATCACCTACCAGTCAATAGCAAAGGCTTTTGACCTGCCCCTCGTCCTGAACCAGGAAGCCTTCGAGAAAATGAAGAAGCTGTCCAAGCCGCACCCGGGCCAGCCAAACTTTGACTGGGACGTCGACTCGCCCGCCCTGCAGGCGAAGCTGCGCATGGTCATCCTCCCCACCGACGAGAAGCGCGACCCCAAGAAGCAATTCGTCTTTCCCCACGAGGACCTCTGGGTGCCCGTCAACGTTGTCAACGGCAACATTCACATCTTGCCGGGCGTCCCGCGACTCTGTAGGTCGACACCAGATGCTTCTCTTCGACACGAGATTGCTAACATTATCCGTGCAGTTGAGAAGCTCCTCGACGGGCTCAAGCCCGGCATCGTGCCCCGGCTTACCGATCCGGAGGGCAAGGGTCTCTGCCGTGTGCTCATCTCTACTCCGCTCCCTGAGAGCGCCGTTGCCGGGTACCTGACGCAACTCGCGGCCAAGGTCGAGCCCAAGGGCGTCAAGGTCGGAAGCTACCCCCGGTGGGGCCAGAACGGCACAGTGACGCTGGTTGGAAGGTAAGCCGCCAAAACGAGCAGAAATGTGCTCACAGTTCACACAGCTGTGGATATTTCCAATCTTCAAAGTTCAAACTTGGGTGGCTGACTTTTTTGGGGCTACAGGGACCAGGCTTATATCGAGAGCATCGTGGCCGAGGTTGTCCAAGGCGTCGAAGGTAAGCGTGTAAACGCGGAGGGTGAGGATGATACCCAGGGTGAAGCAGGAAAAGATCTCGAATAATGTCAGCAAACCTAAAAGTCGAATCAGTTGGCGACCGACCCCCACGATCCCGAAGGAAGTGGCTCCGTCGAGGCAATAACAATCTTCTTCGGGATATCTGGTTGTAACTCTGTCATCTGGAATATACAGTGTTTGCGGATCAACTTTAGAATGGTGTGTTTTCCGATACTAGAGCAACCAACAGTGATTTGACCAACGTGAGATCGGGTTTCTGTGAAAAGGATTCAGTCATCCCAATACCTTTCCAATGGAACAAGCTGCCAACCGGTAAATATCATCAACGAATTATCAATGATGTGTTTGAGCTGTGGAACAAAGTCTTCAAGAGACTTCTTCACGATCTGACTTGTGGAGGCGCGGAGACCGCACTCGGGCGCGTAGTGGGGCCCTTTCAATGGGCCCAATTTGAGACGATCGCAAAGCTCTTGATAGAGATATTGCACGAATAAATGACCTGTTTCGCAGACACACACACACATCATTGCGTATATCCAATCCCATCACTTCAGCCGCGAGCCTGCGACCAACAGCCAAGCCGCGGTGCGAGGCAGACGTAGCTAGGGAATATGAATTGCAGGCATCCTAACTCGAATCATCAAGAGATCGTTACCGAACCCATGTCGGACGGAGACGATGGCGGATTGCACTGCTGCAAGCCAGGGGTGGATCGAAATGATCCCCCAGGGCTTCTAGATTGACAAGCTTCTGTTGCAGCTGTTGAATGCACCACGGGCCTGTAGTTCTCGAATTGCTAATTACTGCGTGTGATGGCGGCCCGCGAGCGAGATATGCCAGCACGGTTACCTACCGATTGGAGACTGGCTCCGTTTCGCCAGGAGATGAGCTGTGGATTGGGGCCCGGTGCTATCTCTGACGGTACTCGACAACGTTTGGCTACACCTCCGTCTCGTGACGGCACAATGGGGGCGTCGCTCGCGGATCCTTATCGACGACGACTCTTATTCCCCATGGCTGAGGAAACCTCTTGAGACTTCAAGCAACCACTTCGGCCACGCTATGCCTGTTGCATCGAGTCAGCCGAATGTCAAGACTCGAGAATCGATGGAAGGTCAGTTCATGCTCCACAAAAGCATGTCTACGACTACAACCCAGTCGTCGCATTGTCGCCCTCCGGACATGGATTGGCCATCCATTAAGTGGCCTGTCCGGAACTTCATCCATCCATGTCGTGTCGCACTGTGCAACTGGCCGAGCTTGGGATAGGTTCTCCAAAAATCTCGTGGAAATCAAATCAGTTTGGCCTGTCCAAGGTGAAGCACGGTCCGGGAAGAGACCACTGCTGGAGATGATAGCCTCGCGCGGATGAAAGGACGACACGGGACTATCGCCGCCGCCTCCTGTTTAATGGCCTCATGGAGGCGACAGTGCAAGGTACTCCTGACCAGTGCTGTGCTTATCCGCCGTTCTACCCTGGCGGCCATGCTTGCAGAGGCCAAGCTTCTAGAAACCAAAGTGAATCGTTGCTCACTTGACCTCTTTTTGGACACTGGCAGCACTGGTATGGTAATATGGAAATTTGTGGCCGCGCCTAAACCTGGGGTATTGGTAGTCTGCTATCCTGGGGTATCCCGAATGTGGCTTAGATGCTGATATTGATGGCGACCGAGCATCTCTCTAGTTTTTTGAGAAGGTATGCGCCACAGGAGGAATATTGTTCGAAGCCTTTCAGCATGCGATAATGGTGAATTCGACTAGTAGATCAAAGTGATATGACTTGTACCGTTGCTTCGACGGATGACTGTACATCCAACGTCCCAGACTCCAGAGTGCCAGAACCTCAAGATACAGAGAAACATGGCCCGAGAACGCCCCGGCTTTCTCCACTTGAAGGCATGGAAACATGCGGGAGGGACGAAGAAAAAGCGATCTGAGCGCAATGTCGCCAGAGATCAACCAAGTTGATAGTGGTGTTTATGGGAAGATGATCGGCGCTGTCTTGCCAAGTTGCTGGTCGGGCCATGCCAGCTCGGGCGGTGCAAGAGCCAATATGAGTTTGGGCCGGTGCAAATACCGCGACTACTCATGCGCTATGGCCTTGGAGCAGGACCAGTGAACGAATCAAAGCTGCCTCACGCCAGAGCCACCAATAGCTAGAGCCTACCAAGCACTGCCATGGAGGTGCTCTCTCGATCGTCAAGGAGCCTATCGTGGACTGGTGCTCTCTGTGCGTTGCATGGACAAAACTGGTGGGATCTGACGTGGGCCACGCAACGTACCTGGCGGCTGTCTGACTAGAGTAGGAGTCAAGTCAAGGCGTTGAGTTATGGCAGAAGCAAGTGAGCCAAAGTTCAGATGTCAGGGCTAGGCGTCTTGGCTCAAACCCGGGATGCAAGGGATGTAGGTAGAAGCAACATCGTTTCGGTCCGTAGTTTTGGGTGTGGTTGCGGCTGAAGTTTAGTTATATCGACGTCGGATTCCGTGGCATTGAGAAGCTGGTATGCTTTGGACAGATGCACGCTCGACCCATTCTGTCATAATGACAGAAGCTCTCTAGCGAATTTGAAGGCTGGGGTGCAGTAGTCCCAGTTGCGCCGTTGAAACGGGAAGCTTGAGGGGTTCAAATCAAGCGCTGACTGCAGTTTGGCCCCAGTACGGCTTCACTGCGCAAAGTGCTCTGTACGAATTGCACACTGAGCGGGTCGTAATAATTGGCTCCTCATCTCTTGTTCACTGAGGAGAGCGTTCCATTTTCAACAAATCCCTGCTACGAGATGCCGTGCTGAAGGATTGGACGTAAAGTTAAGCATGTCGTTCGAGCTAGCTGAACGATACTGATCAGGGTGATTCTTCGAGCCCAGATATCTGGAAGTGTGGCTCAAATAGTCAAAAATACGTGAAATATGATCATACTCTGTTGGTTTGTTTCGATGAAGGAGCTTTGATGATCGTGATTCCCCTCGCGCTCCTGTTTGAGCTGTCGGGTGTCACTATCGCCGCGAGGTGGTCGTTTTTCTTGGGCCACGTTGGCAAGGGTTAAATGCGGTGGTAGTCTGGTAAATGCACGTGTACCGTTGTACAGGGATCTGCAATGGCTTACTGAAGCAAAGCCGCTTGATGGGGGCCTTTGTATCCGTACTTGTAGATAATGGCTACATTCAACCCCTGGCAGGCATTCGTACATCTTGGTGGCAAGGGGTTCACAACGTCGGTTGAGAATTGCCGGATTGTAACATGGTGTCCAACACGTTGCCCCAGGGTCCTGTATCTCGATAACACAACCGTATCCGTACGAAGTTATCCGCGCCGGCTGGTAACTTCAGACGATGTCGTGCACGCCCAGGTGAGAACAGCTTAGAATGCCATTCTACATTCCAGCGCGTCGTCCCTTACTGCTATCATGCGCAGGTGAGGGCGTCTCTGGTGGATTTCTTGGGGTGACGGGTGCGGTGGAAGGGAGCATGTGCTGGGAACTCTCACGGATTCTCCGTGACCTCCGGACTGAACTTTGGTTGGAATGGGATGTGTGTAAGTTGAGCCAGCCTCTGCGCCACGAACTGGCATAAAGATTGGTCGAGCGCTGTCAGGCTACTGCGTTGTAGGTGTGCTGAGCGACATGAACGTCGTTCTTAGAGCGGGCTATACAACGAAGATTCACGTGGACGTGGAGACCCCGAAGAGGCTCAACCCAGCGCGAGGCGCTGCCGCAAGCAGACAGTCTCGTACTCCGTAGTAGGGAGGGTTTAGAAGGTGGCGACTTCGCTCTTGTCGCGTATGCTCGGCGCCTGGTCCATGGTGAGGCGTCAGAGACTGCCGCCTGCAGGCGGCTCACCGATTGTTGTTGGATTGGAAGGGCAATTTTTTGAGAGGGGGCAAAGAAGTTTTGACTGCTGTCAAATGTAAGAGGTTATTCGTAGCTATTTGGTTGATGTTGGGTAGCGAAACTGGTAAAATAATTAAATAAATGTACGTATCTGGACGCTCACCCCTATCAGCTGGTTTGAGGGATCTCATTCGACCTCGGATCAGCAAAGAAGGTCATTCGATTCGAGGCCTAGACCGCAAAGCCAGTATCGTACATAGGTAAAGTGAGGGAAGACATCTATAAGGTGGTGTAAAGTGCAGAGTTAATCAAGCGGATACGGAATACTGAGGGTGTAAGGGTTGGAAGGCTGGAGACATGGCATTGCACCCGCCGTCCACACACGAATCCTCCCAATCTTCGTACCTGCCTACATAGGTACCTTAGTTTTGTACGGATACGTACAGTGCGAGGGGGGTAGGTAATGGAAGTCAAGGGCCCCACGTGGTCAAAGCTCTCTGCTCGCAAGACGGAACCACTCACGCCTCACCCTCTTTAACTACCTACAAACGGCCTTGTCTCCGAGGAAGCCCATCTTGAAGCCCATACCAGATATGCCGAGACGGGACGGAACGGAGAGATCATTACTTGTACACATCCCATGTTGGTCATTGAGTGAAGAAGACGCGTCAACTTCTTTGATCAGACGTATGGCTAGGAGTCGCTCCAAAGCAGTAGATAGTCTCGAAAAGTGTGAGTGCGTTGGTAAGACCTAGGTGTATGTATTGGTCCTACGCGTTACCATGGGCCGCAGCAGGCCGCGGACACAGTCGACTTGATAATCTTGACTATTCTCAAATACAGACTCTTTTCTGCTCATCTGGCTTATTAAAAGTAAGACCGTAGCAGGCTTCCCGCCATATAGCAAGGTAGAGCACGTAATGGTGACAGGGAGTCTAATTGGTAAAGACCAAACCTGTACAACGGTACGCGGGTGTGTAAGCAGGTAGACTCTGATATATCCTGTCCTGCCGTGTTCTGCACCGTATTATTAGTGTAATCAGAAGTGTGGAGCTGTCGAACCGCAAGATGCGATACGTCCTCTCACATCAGGCTCCTGCTCTGATGAAGTGACCGAAGAACCGGGGCTTATATCCCCCAAGAACCGGGGCTTATATCCGGACATTGTATTAGGCAATACGACATGGCACCACAACCGAAGCGGTGAAGAGGCCGATGA